AAATATATATATATTTACATATAAAATAAGAAAAATTTTTCCAAAATAAAATGTTTATGCACCCTGTATAGTCGACGTTTGCTACAATCTCCAACCATGTACTTCATTCAACGGTTCGTAATTTCGATCAAAATGGCCCCGAAATGTCAGTCTTTCCGTTTGAATTTTGTTAATTTTATTACAAGTAATTGAGCATGTGACTGCTATCCAACGTGACTTATTGAAACTTGCTACTTATGTGCTATTATTTCGCTAAAATATGATTTACATACGGCAATCCAGAAAACGTTTCGTTCAATTATGATGCATAAATGTCGCGTGTATAATTATTAGGATAATACATTATACAATTTCGATAAACTACAGCGTAAATATTTTGATAACACGCATTATATATAGAAGAAGCAAAATATAAAACTTGTATAACAAGAGATCATATTTCTGCTATTAATCTAATAATTATGTGCAAGTTAAATTGAACAAAACGCTTTGTAATATTCGATGATTAATATTTGTCATTTTCGTAAAAACGTATAGTACCACATATCTCTTCTATGATAGCCCGTACATATGTATAATTATTGTTAAACGCTAGAAATTCGTTAAACTCGTCATTAACAAGAACTAAATTTTAAAACTGACCTAGGGTATTTGATTATCAAATTGTGAATGGCTAGTATTAATTACATATCTCCCCCTCCCCTCTCTCTCTCTCTCTCTCTCTTTCATTCTTTCTGTCATTCATATATTTCACCTCACTGTGGTTTGTTTACTTATATTTGAACATTCACACGCGTCCGCTTAATTAATTTAATATAAAAGAAAAAAGAGTAACAAATTGCATAGTTAACAAATAAATAGGAACCAGCCTATGTTACACTTAAGGTACTAATGGACAAAAGTGCAAATAACGTGATATCCGAAACGCAGTCCTGAGGAAACATTGACTGAGAGGATATTTTTCACTTTTGTTCGTTTTAATTAACAATGAATTGCAAGATAGTGCCTCTATTTAGTTATAAAGGTTAACAATCGCTATACCATCATTCTCCTCTTTTTACCATATGCTATTTTCATCACGTTTGCAGTTTCTATCATGAGGGTATCCAGTATAGCTACCGTAAGTCCGTTCTTTACCGCTAGCTCGTCGTGATGAAACTTTGTCCATTCGTCCTCCTCAGCCTGAGCCTCTCTCGCCAGCAACTCGTCGACCCTGTCTCTGCGTTTCCTGCTCCATCGCATCACCATGTTTTCTCGTTGCAATTTTGTCTTGAAACCGAATAGTGTGGCGACTTCCTTGTTAACGTACTCGACGAGTTCCTCGACATTCTTTGGAATCTTCATCGTAGGCTTCGTTTTCACATTCGGCTTTGTCCAACTCGGGCCGGGCTTTTCATATTCCGCTCGATAGACTTCCACAATGGTCTCTTTACAGAGATCGAAAAGGAAAGTGTTGTAGATTCGCCTGTCCTTTTTCTCACTCTTGTCTTCGGTCAACTCGTAGATCTCAGGAGGCGCTTCCAAACTCGCGATATCTTCACCGGCCAGTTTAGCGTTGTATATCAGAGCTGTGGCTTTCTCAGTGAATGATGTTAGCTCTTCGACGTTTGATGGGATTACGGCAGTGACTAGCGAAGGCGAACCGAGCGAAGCCGATAATCGACCAGGTGGAGTATAAGGAGGAGGTGGTTTATTCGGTATCTCTCGAACGTAGTAAGACACTTCCTCTGCTTCCAATTTCTTGATCTTAAAAATAGTTACATATACATTCAGGTCGAGTGTCTATATTTGCAACAATTGGATCATACTTGGGATACGTACCTCCAATTCGATCTGCAGTTGTTCGATTCGAAGCAGCTTAGCTTCCAGTTCAGCGAGCTCCTGACCAGGTTGTTCCAATGAAGCTGTACGGAGCAAGAAATATACATATAGATAAATACGATAGACAGGCAAAGAGACAAGTTTATCGGGAAAAGCAACACGAGCTTTCACATTACATCGGGGGTTCACAATTCATATACTTAAATTGAAAGTGCTCAAAGGAAAGGAATGGATAAAAGATATATCAAATAAATGTTTCTAATGCATATATATGCATATATATATATATATATATATATAATACAAAGCTGTGACAAGGTTGAACATTCCATATAACATTTGTACACGATAGTAAACCTTTTCTGACAGATTCGGAGGGAAGAGAAGAATAGTAATCGATGAATATAATTGTGTGTGATGCATAATATTTACAGGCCTTTCTTGTGCGCATACGGATCAATAATGAAAGGATCAAGCATTTCATGCGACACTGATTTGTACAGAGATAACAAGTCAATGTTCATCATTCGTAGTTTCGTGTATTACCTTTAGACAAATATAATCTCGACTTTGCTATTTGTCTGAAAATAAACAACACATGGCTATACCAGGCAACGCTTTTGCACAGGAGAGCACACAGCCATTATAAAAAACAAAAGGTGTTTCTGTAGTATATAATATGTATAGATCGAGATGTGTAAATATGTATCGAGTGTCTCTGAGATGGTCAGCCCACATAGAAATTGCATCGCATGATTCCGATCGAGAATGATAACAATAATTTGTAAAAAGAGAAAAAAAGATTCATTATCTCTCAACATATACAGGTTGGCTTGCTTTGAAATATGTTATTCGATTCTTGCAATTCAATCGAATAACATATTTCACAAAAATTGTTTTGCAGCGTTCATGATTAAATTATCCTGTTAGACCAGACATCCATTCGATAGCGATTACAATATTTATATAACTTTTATAATAACACATATAACGTTTTATGTTTGAAAAATATATACAATCGGACGGATGAGTACTATAGCATAGAATGAATCGATACTCTGATTCATACATTAGATGTAGAGTTCGAATTGATATATGGGAATTTATAGTTGATTCTAATGACTCTGTATATTATCTACTATATTTCTATCTTTATATATATATATATAATATTCTAATATTACTTCAATTACTGAAAGATTAGTGAGAATACCTTTTAATTCGTAGATCATAGCTTCGATATCCTTCTCGGACGTAGTGACGATGGACGCAGAATGGAAATTAGTCTCCATATCGATGTTCTGGTTCGTCGCTTTAGTGCCGCTTAGTAGATCATCATCCAGAATATCAATATCCAATCGCGAGTCATTGAAATCTCTCGGCGAATCCATCTCGATCTCGGATACTCCCCTTGGAGTATCGCCGGCTTCGCTGGATTCGGACGAACCATTTTGTTCCTGCAGTTGCGAGACTCTCTCGCGTAGCTCATATATTATCTGAGAAGACTTGTCGTCTTCGTCCAATTTCAAAGGAATCATTTTTCTCTTCTCAAATAAGCCGTCCGGGTCACTAGCTTCTACTGATTGCCCGTCCTGCAATTTTGCTCTTTCCAAGAATCGACCCTTCGTTGCGTCCACCTTGGAAGATTCTTCCTCGAGCTTCCCCGTTGTTTTATTCATCTCGGGAAATGAACTATCATCCACCGCAGAAATCTCTGCGCCCAGGACCTCGCTAATCTCTTCCGTGGTACTTGGCACGTTCTGGGCATTCTTCTCGTTGTTTTGCGAATTGCTTACAGAATCAAACGATGATTTCTGCGAGATTTCGTCTAGTATTCTCAATACGTCCTCTGATTTATGGATAGTTTGATATCTTTCCGGTAAATTAGCAGACTTCTTTGTGATGCCTATCTTTGAAAGATTATCTTTGTCTAGAATTTCAGACACCTCGAGACTCTCCTCGGAAATGTCTTCGTACTCTGGATCTTTCAATATGTCGAATGTTTTGTTGATACTTTCAATTACTGGTGCGTCTGATATCACGGCCTCATTATTCTTCTCGACTGTATCATCCGTAATCTCTTCTTTAGTTTGTCCAGTCGTAGATACAGCATCGTCTATTACCGACTTATGAGAATCGTGTGATGTAACAGTTTTTTCCACAACATCCAATCCACTCACAACAACTTCCACTAAATTGTCCAACTGCTCGCCATCCGAGCTATCTTGTTCCGAGATTGATTCTAAACATTCTTTTATCTCTACAGGCACGTCTTTGTTTTCTTCCACAGCACGTTCATTCTTGTCCTTGTACGTGGTGGAATCCTCTTCTTCTGCCAATTCGACTTTAGCATCAATTTCAAGTTCAGATAATGCGTTATCCTCGGCGCTACTTGAATCTAATTCCGTGATTATAATTTCTTGTACTTCCGATACCGCTTCGCGTAGACTTTCTTCATTATCGATTTCCACACATAAGTTTACATTTACGGCAGATTTATCGTCAGTCTCGTCGATTTTCCGTAACGAAGTATCTATTATTTCTTCACGATTACTATCTTTGTTATTTTTACAAATATTCTCTGAAATTACATTACTTTCGCTTACATCTCCTACATTTGTTTCTCTTTGCGTTTTATTATTTAACAATGAAATATCTGAAACTGCCTCAGTTTGATTATCTATATTCATATCAATATCATATAAGAATCCTTTAAAACGACTATCCACATTCCTGTCATTTTCCACAATATTCTTAACTCTGTCTAATAATTCAGCCATGGAATCAGAGATTACATTATCAAACTCTTCGTCTTTAGGAATGCTTTTTTCTTTATCATTTTCTCTAGCAATTATATCCAATATATCGTCAAGTTCATCATTACTTCTTGCAACATAAGTTTGTGCTAATGTATCGTTAAACGTAACGTCCTGTACTGCAACATTTGTAGATTCCCCCTTTGGAAGAAAATCTGACATGCCATTTATTAAAATGCTTTCTGCTTCTTGATTTGTTATATCATCGACACGTGATACAGTCTTTTCCGAGAAATTATTCAAAGTATCGTCCAAGCCTGATTTTGAATTCTCGAATTCTTCACGTACTCCAGTGCTAATATCATCTTGCGGCACATCGAACGAATCGGATGTCGTCCAGTCGTTTTTATCCTTAGAAATATTCTCCGTACTGATCGTACGCGATCGATTTTGATCAACGTTAGATGCAAGTGCTATTGAATTTGTGATACTGTCGAGCACTTCTATTTGAATATTTTCACCAAGATTTTCTAATATCCTCACATCATCCACGACATCAATTTTGACTTCTGCCTCGGAAATATTCCTTGACGATTTCAAATCCTTACCAGCAAGAACGTGTGAGCTTTGACTTGAAATTAAACTAGGTGCGCTCCAGGAACCTTGCGATATACTTTCCTTTGAACGGTGACCAGCGATGATGGGAGATTGCACTGATGCAGTGTTAAAATGTTCAGAAAGTTTCAGAGAATGTATTTCTTCCGCTTGAGATTTTACAAAGCCTTTCTCAATTGTTGCTTCATTCAACTCATTTTGTTCATTTATATTTTTCTTCGAATCATTGATAATTTGAGTTGCTGTATTCTTCACAAAATCAAGACTTTTTCTACTTTCTGATACTTTGGAAAGGATTTCAGAAATCGATTTTATATCGAGTTCGGAGGTCAAATCATTCAGTAATTCTTCGTTTCCGCTTTCTTCTAATATTAAATTGTCGCCACTTACAATTTTAATGTGTTGTGACAGTACAGATTTCTCTATTTCATTCATAATCTCTCGGCTTTTGGCTTCGTAATCGATTTCATGAGACGAATTGGAAATGGTAGAGGCTTCTTCCGGGATCATTGCCGATATCTCATTATTTATTCTGTCCGATATGTATTTATCATGGCTCAAATCATTGGAAGATATTGATTTTCTATTATTTAATGATATAGACAGAGATTCCGTATCGATTTTCTTCTCGGGTGACACTGCTTGCTGTTCCTCATTTTCAGTATCAATTGCTTCACTAAAAACTGATTTAGATATTATCTCTGATATATCTTGCGATGTATTCTTTTCGTCGTTATTTGTTTTGGACTTCTCATTCGATTCGTTACTTAAACGCGACATTATTTCTGAAAGCGCCTTTATATCCTTTTCGATAGAACTTATATCTTCACTTAAATTTTTATTATTTAACTGCAGAAAATCTAACTTTCTCGAATAAGTAAGTATACTGGAATCAGTAATACGCGCAACATTTTCTGTAGAACGCTCGGATTTGCTCGGAATAGATTTAGAATATTCAATGTTTGTTATTTCCGGAATCTCAGAATCTCGGAAGTCGGATAGTATTGTGGAAGTCTTTGGTTGAGATTGATTGATATCAGTAATTAATCTATCATTTGCCGATTCAGTGTTAATAGTACTGTGATCTTCAAATCTTGCATCCGATGTTGTTTGCACCGTACTTGCATTCGTTTCAACATCTTCCGTATCGTGCAATACACTAATTTGTTTCATGACAACAGAAGTGGATTCTCCGATTTGCCTTTTAGAAAGGGCATATTTTCCAGAACATGCATCATTCGAAGTCGATGACACTGAAGGTACTGTTTGAATTTTTTCGAATACTTCTTTCGTATAATCGTCCAAAATAGTTCGAACGCTATCGTGAGAATCTATAGTATCTTTTAATTCTAAAGCGTTCTTAATATCCGCGAATTTTGTAGGTTTCTGAAAACTATCCCTTTCGTGCTTATCATCGTATGTTATCGTTACGACTCTCGACAAGTCCTGCCGATTTCTCGTTAACAGGAGATCAGATTCCGATCTGGATCTTAATAAATCGCTACTTTTGTAGATGTCCTGTATCCTTTTAAGCGGTATTTCAGGTACTTTAAAGTCAGCTAATGATTTTGGCTCTATAGCTAATTTGTCAATTTCTTTGATATCTTTCTTCGATTCCAACTTTTTGCGCATCTCATGGATGGTCGTGTCATATTTCTGTCATAACATAAACAGAAGTTTTTATAATAATAATCAAAAAATAATCAAATAATTATCTATGTATATATACACTTACTTTGATTTGATTTAACAAGTTTGCTTCCAAAGCACGTAGCTGTTTCTTCGCTTGCTTCTTTGCTTCTCTTTTTAGACGCGTCATTTCGAGACGTCGTTCCGCTAATTTCTCAGTAAGAACTCCTATCCTTCCTTCGACATCGCTCGTATCAGATGACAGGGTGGTATCTATGAAAGAACACAGACGTCTCTCTGATCGTGATCAGAGTTTGAAATTATGTAAAAAGCTACATTTAATTAATATTTAATAAAGTAACGAGTTGTCATAATTATTACAATATTCGCAAAGAAACTCGTTTGTTTTGAATTTATAGTTACAATTTAATGTAAAATTTATTAAAAAGAACTATTATACGTTATATAATGCAATTGATCTTTTATTATAAGTGTATTTATATTACCCCCTCCTTGTTGACCCAAATTAGATGCTGTTGCAACGAGATTAAATGCTGCCTGCTCCATACGAGTAACACGGTCCTCTTCTGCTCGTAATTTTGCATGCCACGCCATCCACTCTTTGACGCAGTTCTTACGTGATGCAAGTGCGGTTTCGCGTGCGTTCAAAATTCTAAAGAGAACAGAAGAAAATGTACAGTTTCAAGAATATGCATGTGCATGCCTGTTATGCGGATTGCCTTTGCAGAGAATCTATTTTTACAATGCTTTACTCGATGTGGCGTGGAGATGTGCACAGTTTATTATTAGACTTTCCAGCGCATGACTTTAGTGATTCAACATTTTATTAGCGGAACACATGTGTATCGCGTCAAATAACAGTTTTCAAACAATATTAAAGTAGAAAAGAAAAAAATGTGATAAATGAATATATACACGTGCACTTACCGTTCAAATTCTCTGTCTTGCGACCTAACAACTATGGATTTTGAGAGATTTTTCTCACTTTCCTCGGAACTGTGATGGGAAACGGTAAAAGTACTAATATGAGATATTGATGCATTTTGAGTATCTTGCTCGATCCTGGGAAGACTATCATCATTCTCAAATTTTTTGTTCGAAGTTTGAGTGGATCCGTTTTCCTTATTCTCATTTGTTATTTCGCTCGATAATTTCAAACTTTTATCCTTAACAGCTTTCGAATGCGAATGTTTCTTAACGAATGCCTGAAGCGAAGTTTGGCTTTCATTAACATCTAATTCGCCCAAAATTGAACTTTCTTTGTTGTTAACTAACTGAAGCAGCAATTCATTCTTCACTTTCGTTCCTTTATCATGATGCTTGACAAATTCCTCAAATATATGAGAGCTTGATTTGGACCCCAATATATTTTCCGTTGATATACTGGAAGATGATTTCGTTTTCTGATACTTTGAATTTTTACGTTTGGAGCTTGTTTTTAACTCGGTATTATATTGCGACTTTTTAGATATGTCTCTATCGCTCGTGACAGATTTATCAATCTTCTTAGAGTTCTTACTCGTACTTGTCTGTGATATTTCGGAGATTTGAGACTGCGTCGTTTTTGAAACTGTGTCTTGGGCTATTGTGTTGATCTCTTCTTCTATAGATTCACTATTGGTGGTTACGGCATTAGAAGTCAATTCCTTCTCCTTTGCGATTGTCATGGTTTGTATGGAAGGCTCTGATAATTGTGATAGTTTTGAATGTTTAGACACCACTTCCGCTATCGATGATCTCTTAGACAACTCTTCTACTAACGTATCAGATTCGGATTTTACATTTTCAGGTACTGATGCATCTACTTCTGGTCTCGATGACTGCGATAATCTGATCTGATCCTGATTTTCCAAGAGCCGAATATTTATCATCATAGGATGGCCTTGCTTCATTTTCGACTCCATGTCCAACCTCTGATTTTCCTTCTGCAGCAAAACATCTGCTCTGGGCATTTTTTCTTCGTATTTTCGAGATCTCAACTCATATTTCGATAAATCGCTTTTCTTTTGTAACTGTATGGGGCTTTTCTCTTGCTCCTTACTCTCAGCTACTAAGTCATCGGGTTTTGCCACGGATGTATTGCTTTCTTCGCCTAAATTTATAAATACGTTGGACTTCAACCAATCAAATTTAGATGTGTCGCTCTCAGATGCATGAAGGCGTGTGTCCATCTGACCATGCTGAGATTTATCCGAATCAATCAAAGAGCTCATAGAGCTATTACTACGAATATCATAACCCTTCATAGGACCTGATAATCTTCTCGGCGATTGACTGTCTGCGGTTCTCTTTAATTTCGTTAAGATATTCTTCGTTGACATTTGCAAATTAAACATGTCCCTCTGTTTTTGCAACATACGTTTCCGTTCTTGGCTTGTAATTTCATATAATAATTTTAATCTGTCAATAAACAGAAAAATTTAACATAATAAATAAAAAATATAATATATAGTCACATAAATGCCACTTACCTTTGAATTTCATCTTTTTCTTGTTGTAGTTTTAGAAGCAGAGCTCTTTGTTTTTTTCTCAAGGAACGGGCATCTTGTCCAGTATCTTTCATTACGCGTTTTTGCTCTTCCAATTCCACCAATTTCTTAGTTTTATCATTTAATGTTTTTTCACGAAATTTGAATAACTCTTCGATTTGATAGCTTCGTTGATTCTCGTCTCTTAAGAGTCGTGCTATCTGTAAAAGAAAGTATAAAAAAATATGCAATTAATATCCACAATTACAAATACAAGCATACGTGTATATATTTATAATGAATTACCTCTGAACCTATATATTGATTAAACGAACACGTTACACCTCGAGTTGAGATACTAATTTCAGTTCCGGTTTCCGTTTTAATAGACGAGGTAGTTTCATGCAAACTAATCTCCGACATGGTCCTTATTCTGCTGGGCACCGATGCCTGTTCTATTTGATCTAAATCTTCGAATTGTTCAGCCGAATCCAAGGACAGTTGGGAAACTTTGTTTTCTCTCAAAAATGATTCGTACACGTTTTCTCTGTCACGGATCTCTGTCAGTCTATTTTGCGCGTTTCGTTCGTCCGCGGATATATCCGTTTGGGTCGCTATATCGTTTACCGTTTGCGTTTGTACCTCTGCTACTTTGACCCCTACTGTTTTATTAAACTTTCCATAATTAAATCCGTAACCCGATTCATCAATATTGCCTTGGTTTGGGATATAATGCTCTCTATTGAAATGTATTTCATCGCTTGATTTTCGAGGTTCGGCGATGTCTTTTTTTACATAATCAACTGGATTCCATATTGCTGTAAGAAAAATTCCGAATGTGTTTAATATAATATATTTATACATAATTCCACTAACAATGGATTTCTTACTTTTTTCAACAGCATCGTTATTAATTACTGCAGCTGCACAATCTTCCACAATTTGTACTTTTTCTTCATCTTTTTCGTCGGCTTTCTGAGAATTCTTTTGTTCTTGCATCTCACACTTAGTATTGTACAAACACTTTTCAACATCCATTACTTGTCGGAGGGACTCATTATAAGAATCGTAAAGATGTAGTTCTGCCTGAAACTGCATATGTAAAGCTGTTGGGTGTAGCTGAAATTCCAATGTACTTTTATTTTACTAAAACTGTACTATTGTGAATGAACAAACAACAATGTATTTATACTTACCAATTGTACTTCATCTTGTTCCTCCTCGGATTTTATTGCTGGCTTGTATTTTGGGCATCTTGCATCTACTTCCGAATCACTGCTCTGCGTCAAATATCTCCTTCGTTTAGATCTGAATATAAGATTCATTTTTTCTGGCGTCATTAAATTATGAAATTCTGGTTGAGAATAACCGGCTCTGAGAGAGATTCTTCTAGAATCAAACAATGTCTCTGGTAGTGTAGTGTCATCCACATCATTTGAATCATCGTTAGTAGTCGTTTTTTTAGTTGTAATAATGCTTTGGGAACACGATTCCTCATCTTTTTTAACGCTTGTACTTGCAGATTGTGTCACGGAATGTTCTGTATATTTAAAATTCTCCGAAGTTTTAGTTGATCTAGCAGAATTAATGTTCTGTTTACTTTCCATAGTTGCTTCGATATCTTTACTTTTTGATGACTGTGTAGAACTTGTAGGATACGCACTTATTCGACTCCTGGAACTATTTGTTTCAGACATAAATTCAATATCTTCTGATTGTTCTGAATTGACGCTGTGTAGTTTATCTTCGCCTTTATTAGTTAACATTTTATTTTTATCAGACATTCTTTTCGTTTGCTCCTTATAGATAGTATTTAATTTGTCTTGTTTCAATAATCTATTATCTGAATCAGATTTATGTTTCAGGTCTTCTATTTCAGACTTTTGCTTTAAAAAATAGTGACTTATGTCTTTAGATTTATTTTCAGTGCTAGATAAAACGCCCATATTATCTCTCAATGTAACTTTATCTAGCGCCTTCCAAGGTGGAATAATCGCCGATTCATTACTAGATATTCGAATCTTAGATTCCGAAAGATTGTCTTTTGTTAATTCTACAGACTGTGCATTAAAGGATCTCTGTCTTTTGTCATTATCCTTTTTAACACTAGGCGATACGAAACTTTTATCTTTTGATTTTACTGACAAAACGTCATTAACTTTTGTAATATGGAATGGTCTATCATTTTTTGGTAATTTTAAATTACTTATATCACTGGCATCTTTTCTAGAGATGTGTCTTGGACTTCGACTACGTTTTACTTGGTCTTGTATGGATTCGTCCCTCTTTGCACACAAAGAGTCATCCTTTTTCATCCTCTTGGATCTATTTTCCTTCTCTCTGGAATTGTCTCTAACATGATCCTTCTTCTTACTTAAATTAGACGCTATGGAGACATTTGGTGCTTTCAATGGTTCTATGCTTTCGCAATTAATAAATGACGATCCATCTGAGGAGAAATCTAATTTTCTCTGTACTCTCTCACCAGTTCTTAGGCCTTTGTCAGATCTATCGTGTGCAAATTCTTTTGTAGCTATTTCAGACTTTGCTGAAGACAGCTCCTTTGAAACGGAATTCTCTCTGCTGGAGAAATCCAGCGCTTTTGGAGAAATTTTTAGATCGGGTACTTTCAGCGGTTTAATGAAGTCCATTTTTTGTATAATTTGATTTTGTGCAGTCAAATTTTGTGTACTAGTTGCTTTCAGTATCGAAGAAGTCAAATTGTTTTTTGCTTGAGAACTTGACTCACGTACTTTACCGCCAATATCAGAATGCTCTTCTAAAGCGAGTTTTTGTTTTACTGCGCTAATAAATGTAAAAGGATATGGCTGTACAGGATAATAGGATATCAAATTTTTTAAGCTCTTTATGCCAATTGCGGGCAATTGCAAATCAGCTGATTGCTTTTCGAAAGTCTTCTGTTGCGCCTCGAGTTCTCGGGTAATCTGTGCTGCCTACAATGAAAACGTCATATGGAATTTTATATGTTTACAACCAAAAAAATAACAAGTAAAAATCACTCACAACAGCAGAGGTCTCGGCGCGTTTGGCAATAACATCTGGATCCGAGAAGAATACATATTTCTTTTTATCAATGGATTCTTCCTTCTGGCTACTATTCATATTCTCATTCTTGAACTATAGATAACATCCCATAAAATTACCATATTATCATCCATGTTCCTCATAAATGTACAATTACAGTGGAATGCAATAGCACCTGAATACAATACAAAAAATATAATTAATAGACAAAACATTTTTTAAATAATTTCTTAAAAAATTTATCTTTAATAAAAAAAAATTATTTACAATAATATTATTTAACTGCAAATCTTGCGAGAAGAATTGAAAATTTATAAATCAGCGCAGAATCAATTATTTTATAATCTTTATTATTTTACAGTACTTCAATGATATATTCTTATTCATGTACTAATTGCTTATATGAGCTTGGAATACCTAAATAAAAGATATTTTCTTAATAATATAAATTATATTTTTATGATTAATCAAATAATTTATCATTTGCGATGACACTAACTATAAGTTTTACAATAGAAATTGAGTATTCTTGAATTTATTATTTTATAATGTTGTATCTTTATTTATTTATGTTCTAATTGCTTACACACAGGTTTGGAATATGTGTAAAAAATATTTTAACAATATGAAACAACAAATTATGTTTAATCAAATATCACTATTGTGAAGGTGCTATTTAACTGTAAGTCTTGTAATCAAAGTTGAGTATTTAGAAATTAATCGTTTTACAATATTTACAAAAAAATATTCGTTGTTACTTGTTTTAACAATATAAAATATATCTCTATATTTTTAATAAAATAACTTGATCATTTGTGACAAATCCTGTTCTTATTGTTAATTATTTTACAATTAAAATTGAGTTTTTGTGAATCAATTACTTCACTGTGTTAATAAATATATTCTACTGCCTTGTCCTTACTCATTTATATACTAATGGCATACACAAGCTTGAAATATCTATGTAAAAAATATATCTTTATGTTTAATAAAATAATTTCATTATTTAAGAGTAAATTAGACTGAGATTATAGTTAATCTCTATACTGATAGATTAACTTTAATCTCTGTTGGTAGATTATAAAAATAGACATTAGCCTGTATCAGAATTGAAGATTCATGTAATCAGAGCGAAATCATTTTACAATTTTTACAATAAAACATGCTCATTTACATTCCAGCTTACGCTCTTACCTAAGCATAATGATCAAAAGGTAAACCTAATTAAGGCATCCAACAGCAGGTGAACAATTCTCCTCGATCCAGTGTAATTTACTCAACGATAAGGGCAAGGTAAACGTGACATCTTCACGAAAAACGGTAATCGCGCACTCACGTCAACTCACACAGTCATACACGCACGAACACGGCACACACGCGCACACTACACGCACACACCGATTAGCGGCGCCGTAGTTTAAAGATCTGTGATTAGCACAGATGTACTAGATACGATAGAGAGCGGTAGGATCTGATAAGATCTACGGCTGATGATTTCAGACGATTCCAGGTTTTACCACAAGCGTCCCGCAGAAGCGTCTGCGTCGCGCGGCGTTTCCTTTTTACCACTCTTCACCGAACGTCAATTCCACGTATGCGTCGATACGCGTACGGAATACCGCGTGCGTACGAACGCGGAGAGAAGGGGTATCGCACGCTCTCGGGCAGTTTGCCACAACGGCCGTTTGTAAACCACGATCACGTGGTACATACGTCGGGTACGATCGCTCGCAGCTCGCTCTGCTCGCTCGTGATTGAACATGGCAGCGCGCCGCGTATATACATACGTGCGCACGAGCCAATGAGCGTAATCGATAGCGGCGACGCGAGCGTGAGTCCTGTGCGATTACTGCAATTCTGTGAACGGCGAGGAAGCGTTTACAATTGCATGTTCAACCCCACGCGCACTGATACGCACTCTCCGCTCTCTGTCGCACTACCGCTATTTTGTCACAGCAGCTACACATGTTTACCATGTGTTTAAACGCACGTTTCGATAACGATACCGCAAAATTTCTTCCCCCATCTCTTTCATGCATATGTACTTTCTCCGTACTTCACAGATGCCTTCAGGAATTAAGCCGTCGTCTCATTCCGTCAGCGGAAATTTACAACGGAACGGAACAGTGAAACCAAGCACAATCGCAGAAAAGAAAGCAGAGTAATAACTGCAGAGCTGTGATTGGTCGCTCTGTTCCGCTGTAAATTTCCGCTCATAGGATGGCGGCCTTAGGCAAAAATCATTCCGTCTTTGTTTCTTACTGATTATCGAACAAAGACAGAATGACTCTTGTGTCAATTTGCGTCACTTGCTGAAAAAAAGCTCCTAAAGTTGTTGGATGTAAGAATGCATTTTTCATGCTGACGCTCGACGCTCATTTTCAGCGTTAAAACAGGTCACGTCAAAATTGATGCTTGATATTCGTCAATTTTGATTACGTCATCTGTTTTGACGTTCGAATCGAGCGTCGAGCGTGAAAAATGCAG